TCATTTCACCACTACTATGCTGGTAACTGTAGCAATTAAACAATTGTATGTCAAATAAGGTCCCATCTCTACCCATTATAAAGAATGACAAGTAATTAACAAGTTTGCATAAAAGTTCATACTATGTCAGAAACTGGAAATAGAATTGATTGCTGGGGGATTGAACAGCAGCATCAGGGATATCCTTCTTAACAATCTCAAATACTAAACATAAAGACGTAGCTTTATCAAGGCCACACATTTTCCATGCAGTGGTGTTCCCCTGCCCAATTATTGTGTCAGAGCACAAAGGTCCTTTCTGCACATCATCCACAATTAAGCATCTCAGATTCTCAAGTCCAAGAAGCAGAAAAGGAAACCATGCAAACTTATTGAATTATACCTTTTCAAGAGATGCACAAGGGCCAAGGATTCCCTGAACTTTGACGTCCTTTGAACAGTTTATCTCAAATATACCACTGTAAGGAAAAAAAATAAAACTCAATTAAAAATTAAGATTGCTATATTGACCACATAAGGTAGACAATTCAGTCTGCACCTCAAAGCATCTTAGCATACATCAACTTTAGAAAGCATAAAAACTCTTTTAAATAAGGTTGTATGAATGTGAACTCAGGGGTCTAGGACATGTACATGCTACGTATGCATGACACCAAAAACGTAAAACAGAAGGTAAAACACAATTTTCAGATTGGCCTACAGTGCATGCTACACAACTGTGAGAAATAGAGTCAGGTGGGCGTAGTTAATCTAAGCCTTACTTTGAAGATAGTCCAAGATCATAGTCACTCGACTGGAAAACACATCTAAGAGAGTCCTTGAATACTGAGTGGCCAAAACTTTCTGCAAGCACAACCAGCCCTCCAGTTCTCTCAACTGCAACTTTAAGTTCAGCAACACCCACCTTGACAAAATGACAATAGAGGGCATGGTAATTATCAATGAATTGGGTTAAAGATTGCACGATAAGATGCTTAAATTATATAGTAAATCATGTCCAAAGAGAACTAACCTGATCAAGGGCACAAGCAAAGAGATCAAGCACATGTCCTTGATGCACAAGCTGCTTTCCGAGGCCCTCATAAAACTTAACAGCTTTATTATAATGGGGTGCAGAATCTTTGTCAAGATCCTTGTGGGAACGAATTGGCTCAGATAGATTCTTTGAGACAATCTACACCAGGAACCCATAAAACATGTTAATGACCATAATTGCCAACAATGGGACAGATAAATGGAAGGTTAATAGAAATGCCAGAGCAGTTCTTACAGCACCAGGCCCTTCTGTTGAGGGACCTCCAACAAATGCCATGATCCTGGCTCCCAAACCAGGAACACAGGCTCCCAACAAAGCAGCAGCCACACTCAATGCAGCGCCAGTGCATCTGACAGCACGCTGGTCAGCAGGAACGGACCAAGGATCTTTCTGGAGCTCCTCCAGGACCTAAAGAAAATAGGTTTATCCAAAACTTAACTACCGTAAGAAGTACAGAACTTAATATCTAATAGAAAGAATTCAATTTGAACTGAAACGTTGGAACTTTTCATTGAAATGGAGTTGAATTTAAAATTACATACAGAATTGAGGGCGAACTCGCACTCAGACGCAGGCAAGAGGAAACGTGCAATGCTTTCAGAGGAGAGGCCGTCCCTCGCACCGGCAATAACACCTGTTGGGGGCTTTGGATTCTTGACGAAGAAGCTCATCTGTTCGAGGAGCTGATCCTTCGTGACTTCCTTGGAGCCCTTGAAGACATAGGTCTTGGGGATTTGCCCAAACCCCAGCTCGTGCACGTGGACAAGAGTGCCGAAGGTGATCAAGCCAACCAGAGAATTGCCAGGCAAGAGTCCGATAGCCTGGGACAAGGCAGACTTGAGGAAGGCCATCTCCTCCTCAATGATGCAAGTATCGAGGACGAACATGAATACTGGAGGAACAGAGGCTGCCTCCCCAGGGGACTGATACTCGATGGTGGTATACTGCGGAAACAACTCGGCGGGAAGGTTTTCATCGGAGATGGAGGCATACTGAGGAGGGAAGTGACTACGCTGGAAACAGAATGGGCAGATCCAGATCTTGGCGGCAAAATCCACAATAGCGAAGGGATTAAGAACAGAACGACAGTTACGGCAGCGGAGAGGAACGTAGGGGAGGACCGGCATGTTAGGAAAGGACTTGATCGGAGTGTAGATGGCCGATACTGGCACGACGCACTTACTGGCTTCCTGCTTCGTTCCCGGCACGACATTCCACGACATCCGAACGCCATCCTGCGCTTCCAGCTCCAGGAATTCCGCCATTATTGTTGCTCAATATCTCACGTATTATGTTTTCTGAAATTGGATTGATTGAAAGATTGTAATAAACAATTACGATTACGAATGAAGAAGCTTCGCATCTGAAATTCTGAAATCTAGGGTTGAGACCTTCAGTGAGGAAGATGGTGAAGGAAATCGGATTGTCCGTTGTCACTGGAGTTTTTCCTTCTTACTCCCTACTGCCAGTACAGTGTCCGGCGGTAGAAGGAAGGCTGTTTTGGGAATTTCATAAAATCTGCTTCTCTCCCTCGTAAAAGGAGCTTGGTAATCCAACAACATTCAAGAAAAAGAAAAAAAAATCAAAATTACAAAAAATATTGTTTGTGCAGTTTTGATTGCACCAAATTATACAATAAAAATTTTGTTAAATATTTCATGAAATGATTCAATGATTAAAAATTTGAAACTCTAATTTAGAGGTATTAAGTTTAAACTTTGAATTGAGTGGAGAGATAAATTTATGAATAAAAAAAAATTATACCTCTTATATAACTTATAATTAAATGTAGCAAAAAAAAAAAAAAAGGTTATTAAACAGGACTGCCTTTTATATTGGAGCCTTGCTCCATCAAACTAGACTGCTAAATAAATAAGAAACTCTCAAAATTATTGGTAAAAAAAAAAAGAAAGTATAATGTTTCCCTGTACAATATGATTTGATATTGGACGAGTAGAAGAATCTTGAAGTGAAAAATTAACTACCACCGTCTATACAGGTAGAACTGTTGAGTCAAAGTGCCCGTAGTTATGCAATTGAAGCGCCATTTGTTCCAATAACATGCGAATCTCTATGTTTCTTGGGTGAGAATTGTCGCCCTTTTGGAACTCATGAACAATGCCATCTACTTCAATTGAACTACAGCCAGGAGTTTTCTTCAAGTTCCTTTCTTTCATTATCTTTCTCATCTTCAATGCATCTTTCCATCTGTTTGCAGAGGAATAGATGTTTGACATGAGAATGTATGCACCATCTCTTCCAGGTTCAATGTCCATCAGTTTTCCCATTACGGTTTCACCTAGCTCGACTTTTGTGTGAATCCTGCATGCTCCCAGTAATGCACCCCAGACAAAGGCATCGGGCTCGATTGGCATCTGTAATATGAACTCCTCAGCTTCCCTAATCAATCCAGCACGACCTAGAAGGTCTACCATGCAACCGTAGTGCTCTGTTTGAGGTTTCAGGTTGTAGACCTTGGACATGTCCTGAAAATGTTGCCTGCCTTCCTCAACCAGCCCTGCGTGACTACAAGCAGATAGGACGCCTACAAATGTTACTTCATCCGGTTTTACTCCAGCTTGGGGCATGAGGGAGAAGATTTGCAGTGCTCTCTCAGCTTCACCATGCATTGCTAATCCGACAATCATGGCTGTATAAGAATAAACATCTCTGCATTTCATGCCCTGAAAAACCTTGAAAGCTTCTTCTATGCTTCCACACTTGGAATACATATCCACCAGAGCGTTTCCAATGAAACCGTCTGAGGGGATATGGTTTTTATCCATGTAAGCATGAATCCACTTCCCCAATTCAAGGATTCCTAGATTGGCACAAGCATTGAGAACGGCAACCAGAGTAAAACTGTCTGGCTTAAGACCTATGGTTTGCATGTCATAGAAAACATCCAATGCTTCCTTGAATTGTCCTTGCTGAGCTAGTCCAGATATCAAGGAATTCCAAGAAACTACGTTTCTAACAGGCATTTCACCAAACACTTTCCGAGCAGAGGTTGCATGACCACATTTCAAGTACATATCAACCAACGCATTACCCACGAAAACATCATAATCCACAATATTATCATGCATGTATCGATGAATCTGAGTACCCAGACTAAGGTCTCCCAACCGGGCGCATGCAGACAGTACAATGACCATGGTCCTTTGATCAGCTATTAAATTCTCCCGACACATTTGAAAGAAGACGTTAATGGCTTCCCTCGCATGGCCCATCTTGACAAGAGCCTGGATAAGGGTGGTCCAGGAAACCAAATCCCGGTGAGAAGAATAGTCGAACACCTTCCGAACAGAAACGATGATCCCACAAACGGCGTAAAGCCGCATCAAAGTGTTGACGATATACACACTAGACGAGAGACCCGTCTTGATCGAATGCCCATGAACCTGCTCGCCATGGCTCAGAGACTGACACTGTGCGCACGCCTTGAGGACATAAGGAAGAGTATAGGTATCCGGAACGAGACCTTTCATCATCATTTCTTTAAACAGCGCCATTGCTTCAAAGGAGGAGCTTTTTTCGTTGAAACCCGAAAAACCTTTGATTAAGGCATTGTAGATGACAATATCTGGACTTTCAACATGCTTGACAATCGAGCGAGCGTAACTGAGGCTTTCAGGTGAAGAAAAATCGCCGGCCGACATGATTTTAGAGTACAGGAGCTGGATTTGGATGGGTCTGGTTTTCATCGTTAAAGCTTGGAGCTGCTTCATTTCTCGTGTCGATTTGCATAATTCCAAACAACTCAGGGATGGAGAATTCTGGGGAATTGATGACATTGCAGTGTGGGTTTCTACTACAATCTGAAAATCAGGAGCCTTTCTCCTTCCTCCAGCAATTTATCATTTTCTTCCTAGATTGCGTCTGCAAAATCAAGGGTTTTATATCCTTCATCTCACCCGAAACGGTGTCGTTCTGCCAGTTTTAATACAAAATCGCTGGTTCGGTGAAAAATATTGGATAATACTGTATTTTCCTGAAAGGGCAATTGGGGATTGGCATTGTTCTTCTGGGTATGGCGACAACAATTGGCCTCAGAAGCATATCAAGCTGCTCCCTTTTCCGCGCTGGGAAGGCGGCGGCCGTGGCGGTAGCACCGTCGTCGAATTCAATCACATTCAGATCCCTATCCAGATATCATTCTCTGCTTCATCGTCGTCTCAGGGGTGCTCCCTCATTCTGTACCAGTCCAAATGCAGACGCGGAGGCCTCCGCTGCCGCCGCTGCTGCCACTACTGCCGTGGCTCCATCAGAGTCCAGTGACGATCAGCCGAAGGATCCAATAAAGGATGCGGCTAACATGCTCGACATAAGGGTTGGCCGCATAATCAAAGCCTGGAGGCACGAGGAAGCCGATTCGCTTTACGTGGAAGAGGTGGATGTGGGAGAGCCGGAACCCAGAACCATCTGCAGCGGCCTTGTCAAATACGTTCCCTTGGAACAGCTTCAGGTGATTTCTACAGCTCTAATTCTCAAATCCATAGTAATGCAATGCAATTTCATCACAATGGTAGGTGATTCTGCAGGATGCAAAAGTCGTTGTTCTTGCTAATCTAAAGCCAAGGAACATGCGCGGTGTCAAGTCTTCTGGAATGCTGATGGCTGCCTCTGATGCCTCCCATGAGAATGTTGAGCTTCTTGTGCCTCCTGAGGGCTCTGTTCCCGGTGACAGAATATGGTTTGGCAATGAAGATGACAAAGAAAATCAACCTGAACCAACAACGCCCAACCAGGTACTGCCCAATGCTCATCTCTATGTTCTGTAGTTGTGTTCTGCTCAATTTGGTTGATCATATTATATTTGGAATGGGGATGATACCAAAACATGCATTAGATCTTGAAACTGCAAATATGCTGCCAATTACTAGTTATGCATCCTCTATAACAGATTTCATGCTTTGCTTCTATAAAATTTCTGCAGGTTCAAAAGAAAAAAGTTTGGGAAACAGTGCAGCCTCATCTCAAGACGAATGCATCCTGTATTGCAATGCTCGGGGAGCATTTGATGCGAACATCTGCAGGTGCGGTACTCTCCAAATCCCTGAAGAATGCAAATATCTCTTGATCAGTTCAAGACTCGTACCCAACTTCTCAGTATTTTAGCGCTTGTCCTAAATGTCATGAATTATTTTTTGAGCTGACTCGCAGAAGGTTGATGCAACATTTAGCGCAAATTAAGTTGGTTGGTTATTCTACTTTTGTATGCTCGATTTTGTTTGGCTGATTTTACAAATGTTGTTGCCCTGTGATTTCATGAAAGTCTTGCGGTTTCCTGTGATAAAGCGGGAAGAAAGGAAATTTATAAAAATTTGCGCCTCCGTCGAAGATTTTTGTCATGCCAAAGCAGCTTTTTACTTTTTTTTTGAACATTGAGAAAATGGAAGGAAGATTACATCACAAGCATTTGAACCACAGTGATACCTATGGTTTAAAATGCACCCTACCATTGCAGCCACTACTGCAAGTGCATGCCAAAGCAGCATTGCATTAAGATGAACACCACTCTAACTGTGATTTGCACTTATGAATAAGGGGAGACGTCAAAATCCCAATGAGTTATTGTTACAGAAAAATATAATTCAAATTAAGACATATATGATAGCAACCACAAATCATAATGAGAAAGGCAGCTTTCGGTAGGCTTTAATACAATTAGAGGTCAGCAAAAATGGCAAAGATGTCACCATTGACATAATCGTTGTCCACCAAGCTGACCAAATAGTAGCTGCTCTGCACCTGCAAGGATAAAAACAATATCGTCTTAATACTTTTACGGAACTTGATCTCTGTAAAAGGAGGAAGACGAGATTGGGCAGTTTCTAAAGAATGTTTACCTCTTCAAGCAATTTCTTAGATGAGTCATCCTCTGGATATAAGTTGGCCCATGACCTTGACCAGATTTCAAATGCTTCATCCTTCCACACCATGAAGCTGCTAGGATCCACTACAGTTGGTTGGATGATCTCCTTCGCTGGGAAGACTCCCCAAGTTACTGCATTCACGTTACCAAGGCCAATGTTTGATAGCAAAGCCCCTCCTTTGTTGACAGCAATATAGGTTAGAGATGTGAAAGAACTGCTATTCTCAATAAGTGCGTTTAACTTTTCCATTGAGCAGAAAAATTCAAGATAAGCCTTCTGGTAGACATAGCCTCCAGGTCCTCCCCAACCTGCAAGAATCGACATCAGAGAATAAATAAATCATGGCGGACAGAAGTCTGTAGCAAGCCTTATATATTATGAAACTGACATCCTTCCACTTGACTTTAGAGAGTCCGAGACAATAGAGATATTGTACAGATCTACTCATTTAATTCAGCATAGCAAACATGTTACATTCAAACCTAAGACCTATGCCATCCTCATCCATCCTCCACCAGTGATGAAACTTCGGAGTTAGCCTGAACTAATTATTTATGATAGAAAAAATGAAATTTCTAACAGATAAATGTCTTTCAGGAACCAGAAGTTCTTAAACGGGAGACTTGAAGCAACCTTTTTCTCCATAATGATATTCACTCATTGAATCCATAAATCATTCTTTTAACTTTTATGTCATAAGAAATATTATTTCAAAACTGTCCAGTCTTGCATACCCTAAGTCATATCTAATCTTCCAATTGAAACCGAACTTCTGTGTTACGGCAGTGAATACCATTAGGCCAAAAACGTAATTACCTTTCTTGATATAGCACTATTTTCCTTATAAGCAAATATCACTGGCAGCGGAAAGAACCATAATGCACTAGAAGCTAAAAATTAGTCAAAGCAAGGGCATGAAATTTCAGAGAAGTAAATCATCAAGAATTTAGAAGTTATTCTCACTCAATTTTCCATGTATCTAGAACATGAAAGAGAATCATAGATATCCATGTTGTCTTCATTCTTCACAAAGAGTTTTGCATTTGTTTAATTCATAGAAATAGTATTCTAATTAGGTGTCACCTTAAGTTTTGAGATCAAACCTATGTCTAGCATCTGGTCACATAGGAAAGCTAACAGATGAACTTATAGTTAGGCAAGACTTTCAAAGAGGCACTTGTCCAAAATAACAATTTTCAGCAGAAAGAATTAGCTGACATCATGTTTCTAAAACTTGCACTTACCGACAGATGGCGAATCAGATCTTTCTCCATTGACTGCTGGTTGGCTGTTGATAGTGAGGAAGCCCTTCAAGTTGATCTTTCCCAGGGGTTCATTGATGATCTTTGTCTCTGGCTGAAGCCCATCTAATTCTGACCAAGGACTACTTCTCAATTTCCCAAGACAAAATTGCTTGAATTTCTGAAATGTAAAAGTCCCAAAACAATCCCATTAACATCAGCTACTTTTATCTGGTTAGCTTAACATGAGATAAGGTAAAATAAATCCCAACATGCAAAGTCTACCTCTTGGATATCCTCAATCCTTTTCAGGGGAGTAGCCCATTCTTCATGAAGTTTCTTGTCACGAGCACGTGGCCGCAGGAACTGTTCAAAAAATTATCACTTCAGCCATACATGGCTAATACAAACAAGGTTTAATTGATGTTTTAAAACATCAGGTTCCATCAAAAGAAAGAGAATAACATGCCTGATGGTCAGACAGTGCCCCATATGATGCATTGTGAGAATCACCCCATCGCCCACGAGGATATTGTTCCCAGCCTATAGTTCTTGTTATATAGCTCTTTGGACGATTAGCCCTATCAACATTGGATGAAGAGATTAGAATAGATAAGAGAACCATATCCTTTATGATACAAAGCACTGCAAAGTTATACACGAATTGCATACCAAAATATTGGACGAACATCTTCTTTAACGCGGAAAACATTAGTTGGGCGCCTCCAAGGCAAAGACCTTGAAATTTTTGATTCTTCAATCAAACCAAGGTTCTGCCAACACAAAGCAGATCATTAGGAAAAGCAATTAAGCATGACATATAGCATTATGAAAAACATCTTCTCCACATCTTATGCCAGAATAGTGAATGCAGCATAAGAACCAACCGTTAATATAGCTAGTGCTGACTTCTCCATGTTTAGCGTATATAGATGCAAAGTCTTAATCCCATGAGCTAAAATCTTCTTACACATCTCTGTTCCAAGGTGAATCCCATACGATTTGACAGCTTCTTCGTTATCTTTGATAGCCTCCAAGGCAGTAGTAAGCTCAGCTGGTATCTACAATGAGCCATTAAATGAAACAGTACATCAGATTAATAGCAATGATAGGAACCCTGTAGATTATTAAAGACTTCTCAATGCATGAAATATACCAAACCATGTGAGAAAAGAAGACAGTACAGACAATGAATTCAATACAGAGACAAGGAAAAGGGGCAGGGCAACCAATTAAAATAAAAGGGCTTTAGCCTCTTTGAAAATTTAAGTATTAGCCCACCAAAAAGAAGTCAAACAAAAAGGTCTCCTGCAACTAATCTACAGCTATTCCAAATTACAAGAGCCATTCAACATTACTGATTTCCCTAATGTTATGGAAATATGAACTCAACAATGCCTTCCTTTTTCTTCTATACCTCTGATAAATGGGTTTTTCTTCTGCACTCACAAAGTTATTTGAACGTAAGGAATGAAGAATATCAGTAAGTGGCGCTCTGAAGTCATGATTTGAATAAATCAGAGCACAGAACAATTTGGTATTCTACAATATCCAAATAATGAAATACAACTAGCCTACCTTAGTTTTGCAAAAGCCAGTCATACGCAAGAAACCCTTGTAGTTATTAATGGGCATAATCCCAGGAACAATAGGACATTTAATTCCAATTTGGCGGCAGTCATTGACAAACTTAAGGAAGATATCAGTGTCATAGAACAATTGAGTGATAATCAAATCTGCTCCAGCATCCACCTACAGAGCAAACAAAACGTCAGGAAAGAACTCGGTATTAAAACTAAAACAGTTATTCACAAGAAAAGTATTCCAGGAAACTAAGATTTATCTCTAGTGCACATTAACATACGAAAGCAGAAAATTAAGAATGTAAGCTTACAATATTTTCCTACAAACAGAACAAGAGTAATACCTTTTGCTTCAAGTATTCAAGGTCCTTCTGATAACCTTCTGGCGAAGCGACGCCATTGCTCTCAATGACGTCCGGATGCGCCTCTGCATAGAAACGCATAGCGTAAGCTACAAATGCCACGCCTAATACCCTAACAATCAATTAAACAGAACGAAATGAAGAAGAAGAAGAAGAAAAGCACCTGGATAACCAGCAACAGTAATACCAAAGTAATCACCATATTTGCTCCTGATGTGTTTCACCTAGAAACAAGCATAACCAATCAATTGAATTAAGCAGATCTAAGGAAACAGGAAGCCAATTAGAACGAAGCGTTTGTTTACCAGATCGAGAGCACAGGCGAATCCATCTTGAACCTGAACGAACTTATCCTGACCGTGAGGCGGATCTCCACGGAGCGCGAGAACGTTCTGGATACCATTAGACTTGATAGTCGCAAGCGCGTGGTCAATCTTCTCAACAGGCATGTTGGTACAGGTGAGATGCATCATGCTCTCGACGCAGATGATGTTCTGCATCTTGTTAGCAATATCGAGGGTGAGATCGGCGGTGGAGCCACCAGCGCCCCAGGTGATGTCACAGAATGTAGGATTGTGCGCCACCATCCGGTCCATCCTCTCGAAGAGGTTATCGACTCCATCCTCAGTCTTGGGGGGAAAGAATTCGAAGGAGAAGACGACCTTGTTTTGGTGGTCGGCTTGAGCTCTTATCTTGTCTATCACCTTCATAGTGTTTCCCGGATCTGAGATTTCAGGAGCGGCACCGACACACAACAAATTAAGCTCTAAGCTAAGATTGGGAGTTTGAGATTTGGAAGGGGCGAAAATGTAATGAGCTGCGATTGAGTTTTTGTAGGCACTGCAATTTTAAAAGGAAGGTGGTTTTGTGGATATTCTACAGTCGGCCATACCACCAACTCCCGCGATTCGGGGAGCCGATTAATTCCACTTACCCCGATTTTTCAATAAATCGCTCCTATTTTCACATTTCTATATGTGTATATATATATATATATATATATTTTTTTTTTTTTGAACGGGGAACTTGGGGTGGGGTATTGGGGATGAAAAAGTGAGTGCTTAAATTTGAAATTAAGGTTTTGATATTCGAAGCATCGTTTCATTTAGGGGATGAACATTAAGTTAATTAGTGATGAATTGTCATATTTTTAAATTAATTTTTTATTTATCTAAAATAAGTTATTCAGTCATGATGTATTATTTAACAAAGTAGATTGTAAATTCATTTATCAGTTTTTTTTTTTGAATAATCTAATAGTTTAGGTTTTTTTTTTTTTCCGGTTCAGTCTTTGATGAGATGGAAAAATTTTAGGTATAACTACTACCAACTCCACAAATTGAATTTAATAATAAATAAATATCTTTTACAAATTAAATTTTCACTTGAAATTTTGAGGCAAATATGAAATTGATTTCCATCAAGCATTTTCTAATTATCACGTGACAAACGTATTTGTAATTGCAAGAAGGAAATATATCAGATTAAAATAAACCAGGTAACCTGCTAATCTCTAGCTTAATTTTTAAAATAAAAAATCTTCCCTCTCTAAGAATTGCTTTGATTTTTTTTAAAATAATATACAATTTGAGAGAGGAGAAATTTTGTTGAGGCGTTGATAACATTCAAAATCCCAATTAATTAATCCAAACATGTTAAAAATTAAGATGAAAATGCATTTCACTTTGATTGGTTTACTGTACTCCTTCGTGTCGCCATCGTTCCAGTACCACTACCTACAACTACAAGCATGCCAGATGGGGACATCTGGTGTGGGGCTCGGGCGGGGGTTAGTGTGGGTTGGTGAATGGGACCCACCACACCAACCTCTTCACTTTCATCGCCGACTCCTCGCTTCATCGGGCCGCCAAAACCCAATCCGTGAGAGGGTGGAGACTTGAGACGAAACAAGAACAGGTATACCTACCGCATCAGAATTTAGCCCAATACAAATTTTCGAACTCCTGAGCATTAGCCGAAAAGACCAGGCTACCATGGTCAAGTGGTTCGCCCTCCGAGGCATTGCTCTTTCGGGTGCTTTGGTTTGAATTTCAAACCCCACCAACACCAATGAAAAAAACACAGCTAGAGCCTCCAATTTCTTTGAAAAAAAAAAATAATAATAAGCTGAAAGACTTATTAAATTAGAAATTCAAAATTAAAAAATATATATTTTATAACCTAGACAGTAAAATATTGATCCCTAAATAAGAGAAACTCCTTAGTTTACTATTTTTCAATCTACACTATTAAACAACAAATTCATTGAAAAACTACATTAACTGCTGCTTTGCACATTGAATTCAACAATATAACATGCCCTGGCAACCAGACAGGCCTCATTTAGAACATAGGCAAGAAGAGTAAAGAAACAAGAATAGAAAGAACAGAATTTAAATTAAGTTTATCCTAGCTATGTTTCTAATTTCGGAACATCCCTGGCCTTGGCATGCTCTTCACAAAAATGCTTCACCATATGGAACAATCAAAGGCCACACTTGCTTCGGTGCATCTTGTTGTATCCGCTAAAAGATTCTGTGATGAGTGAATACCTAGGCTTACGGTTTTACAGTTCATTAGTTCATTTTATTGTCCAACAAAAAGAATTGAGGAGCATGATACATCGTGCACTTCATACAACATACATTTCCAATGCCATGCGAAGATGGAACATGTTTGTGCAAAAGCATTGGAATAGGTTTTATGTTTAATGCAACAACATGGCGGCCAATCCCCGCAAAAAGGACAGACTCTGGTTATGTTAGAGTCTGGAGTACCATTTTTTTTCCCTTTTTCCAATTAGGCCTTATCAAGAATCACCAACTTCAGTTGTAGGTACCTACAAGACAACAAGGAGAAATAACTTTTGGGCATGGATGCATCGTCTGTTGAATATTAATGTCCAGACTGCCTATTTTTAGCAACTAATGATAATAAGACAAGTTTGTTTAATGAAAAAGGAATGCTACACAAGTAGTATGTCTCAGTAATATTTGTGATTTTGAGAGAAATAATGTCAGGCTCAACCTTTTTGTACTTAACATTCACCAAATAATAGTCATTCTGAATGACCATTTAAAATTACCAATATATAGCAGTTTAAGCTTCCCCCTATTTGCTGTTATTAATTTTATTGAGCTTAGTGAAGTGAAAAAAGTAACCAATATGAGCAGTTGAAAACTGAACATTATGCGAGAGACAGTAGAGGGCTCATAAGTTATTTGTACTCACCCTTTTATGACATCACAAAGTAATGAGTTCCCAATCTTCTTTTGACATGTCAAGAAATTCAGTTCTACCATCTTCAAACATGATCTGCAATGGAATCATACTTTTGTATATATATACATGGTGCTCATTTTATCAAAAAAAAAAAAAAAACAACTAACTAACTAACTAACAAGAGAACCTCTTACCATGTGTCTTCTGGAGTACATATTGAAGTCTTTAATAATCCCAAAACATCTGAAACATGTGAGAGAGTGAAATCAATTAAAAAGAACATATGCAGCTGCAGTACATAACACAAACTATGATGCTAGGTAAACTTAAAAGAAAATAAAGAATACAGAAGCAGTAGGGCACTAGAAAGAACCAAACCAAACCAAACCAAGAGTAATTCAATAATCTATAATATATGCCCTATCTAAGAAGCAATTTCAAAATTTTGGCAAATGTAATACACTTCCAATGGCTTACACATCACCTGGTCTAGACAACCCCACCGCCACACCCCCCAAACATATATATATATATATATGATTCTTACATTTTAATGAGCTACTGAAATCATGTTGAAAACCATAAATGATGAAAAGCAGCTATTTGTAAAAGTACATAACAGATAAACCACTAATATAAGCCCATTATAAAATTTGTTTACCCTTATACTGACTGGCATCTAAGTCTGACACAAAAAGTTTATCAAAAACAGAAAGCCCTACGGTGAGACCGAAACAATCTAGAAATACCTCTGATTCATGGGACGAGAGATTCTGACCACTTCACCAATGCAACGACGAGGGCATATCTTCTGTCCGTTATCTAGCTGATGCGATCTTTCTGTAAGGAGATGAATTTCAAATATTTGGTACTTTTAAATTAAAGAAACCAACATGTAAAGGCAGACAAAATAGTAATTTACTTACCAACATGCAGGCCTCCATTGTGATAGACCTAAACAAACAGAAATCAATAATTAGTTTGAGCTGGAGTGTTTATGGGTTGGGGTACGCCTTGTACCCAAGGAAATAAATTTTTGGCTTAGCAAAAAAAAAAAAACAACTAACTAACT